GTACGACAAATCCCTGTTGGCAGAGTGTCTGCGTATGATTCAGGATCGTCATGCAACTCTCTGGGCCTATGTGGTTGGCGGTGGTTGCAGTGCCAGAGAGGAAAAGGACACGGAAAGAAGGGGAGGTCCTCGCTGTGGCGTTCGGTCATTGCCAACACCCTCTCAAAAGGCAGCTGCAGTAGCGGCTGCCACCTCACGGTGACGGCGTCATTACTGCCATCTTTTACATCCAAAACTGTGCAACAGACACATGCGGGTCCTCCCTCTTTCTTTCTCTCTCTTCTATCTACACTGCCTTTCCATTCGTGTGCTACGTACGTGTACATACGCGGTTATGGCTTTTGCGATGTTCATCCCATCACGGGGTCTTGCGTTTTCATGATGCATTTTTTCGTCACTTCATGCATTCAATCATTCTTTCATTTCTCTTCATTACAAATGCTTATTGCAGTGGCTTGTCTATAGTGTGGACCTCTCAATGAAAATGAGTGCTCTTTACTCCTTCTTCAATATGTCGGTTCGGAGGATAATTGCAGCTCGACAGCGAGAGGAGAGGATACCGTCATATCTTCCTTTTCCTTTCAAGTACCTTTCATTGACTTGATAATACGCAAGTGCGTGTTCACATGCAATGCAAAACAGAGATCGAAAATGTGAGTTGGAGGGAGGGGAACGGTGCTAGCTGGGAATGAGAAGGGTTGATTCTACAGTCAAAATGCTGTTTGGGAGGAAGTGGTGAGCTCATATCTCAATGCAGTGACGACAGAATAGACTGCTTTGAGCAGGCCTTTCAAGATGTCAAACTCTAAACTCACTTGTCTACAACATATGAACACGCATTGTGCTGCTGCTGCGGCTGTGTCATAGGGTCTAGAAATGCTTTGAGCAAGTAGAGCTTCAGTGAGGTAAGTGATGCAGCAATATGTGCTTATTTTGGCTTGACCGGGCGGAGATTTGCAGACATGTGGGTATGACTAGGGCGGGTGTGGACCACGGAAGTACTTTTCTAGGTTTGTTTTAAGACATGAGACTCTCATATGCCATTTAAAACCCGTTGTTATTATCAAGCCTGGTTAGCATTAAGATGTGGCAATAAAAAACGAACTACGTATACATCTGAGACAAATAGTTACTGACTATGTCGATGGGTCTGGATGCGCGGTCGCATCTCAGAAATGTACAATTGATGTAGGTTTCTGGTAAAATATTCGCTTAATATCCAAGGCGATGCAGCTGGTGTTCAAACTTTACGACTTTAGTCGGTCCCTCATGCACAATCAAATCATTCTCAGCTTTATAAATTAAAAAGTGGCACTCGCATTCCTCGTTACCGACGTCACCTATTTTTTCCTTCCTACTTTTTGGTTACATTTGATGCATCATCTCGGTTAGATATTAACCTCCACATGATACAATTTACAACACTGATGTCGTCCTCAAGGGCGTGACCTACGTGTTCACCGCGTGTTGTGGCTATGACTTGTCGCGCGCATTGTTTGGGAGAGTGAATTTTGTGATAGGGCGCTTATTACCACCTTAATTATACATAAAGAAGTAAAGAAGCAAAAAAATTTTTTCCTTTTATGTCAGTGTTTGACGTGGAAGTGGTAAAATATCGAATGTGTTATTGCCGTTGCATTAGTGTCAATGGCTCTGCAGATACGTGGAAGTAAAAATCGTTATTAGTGAAAAGACGAGGTTCGGTGCACTGCATTCATCATCGGACTCTCAAGACATGCATTGCGATGACGAGGCTTAATTATTTGTGCTTACTTATCTCCTTTTGCAAGGTAGGGTTACATGTTATTGCTGCTAGGGATGGCAGTTTAGATGCTTCAAAAGGGTGCTAATATGTGTACATGCGGTGTAGACCCCAAAATGGTGGGATATTAACCCCTGACTGAGGCATCATAGGCATTGCAACAGCAACCGTGGTCTCGCTTACCACTGCTTTTGCTGTTGTCACTGCAGCAATGTACGATAGTGGACAAGAGTTACATTCGGCTACCTTTGCTTATGTAACGAGTATCGGCGGAGATGATTAGGTGTAACTGTAAACGAAGAGGGAAGGGGGGAAGGACAGTAAGGAAAAACACAGTGGTTAATGACAAATACATTAGTAAAAAATGAAACAGTGGCTTAGAACACAGGAGTGAGTTAGAAGGGGAAAAAACAGGAAATGACCCCAACTGAACGAGGGAACCTACTCCAGCAGGAACATCAGGTCACTAGCATGTGTGTTGATGTCAATTGCACTAATCTACTGTGAACTACAAAGTACGCCACGCAGAGGAGATGCTAGATACTGCACTGTGGCTGTAAGTCCTGCGAGACAAACGTAACCATTACAACACCAACACCACCGTGATTACAATTCACAAAACACTAATGTCCGTTAATCCGCACCACCACAATCATCACCATGTCAATAACTCACAGACAAAATTTCGAGGAACATGAGGAATGTACCCACATTAGAGCTATCATTAATAAGCTCTTCTCCACTCTATGCACCCGCATCAATCGCTAGTACTGTACGTGCATGCATCGTAACCAACACGACCTTCCGCTTGCCCTCCTATCACGAACAAAAAGGCAGGAGGAGAACTCATTGCTCTGACAATAGGATTATCAAAATGTTAGTAGAGCCGCACAACTGCACACACAACAAGCAAAGTGGCGATGTGGATTTTGCCCACCTCATCATCAACATCCTTCATCGCCACGATCATCACTAACGAGGAATAGCACAAAAATATCCACATTCGACAATGAGTCCACTCTGCGAAGAGACGTCACAACAAATAGGGACATCGACAACAGCTGACGCACTCCATTCCTCACGCCCTTCTCCACATTTACCAGTCCTACAACAAGAAGAAGAAGGACAAACATCAAAAGCAAGGCATGCAGTAATGACATTCACATCATCTCACAATGACAATACCTCAGCGCATTACGTACGCGCTACAACCCCTGACAGCTTCAATTCAACTCACAACTAAAAACCAACGCGTATGACAAATCTACGAACATCTCAAGGACATACGAGAGACCTACGAGTCACACCCTTACCGCCATTTCCAAAGCCACAAATACTCATCACCCATAAAGACACCTAACACGGGCAGCATCTTGCATGTGAAGCATCCAGAGGCAACAATAGTACGGTCATTTCGAGAGATAATGCACCGAACGAAAACATAACCGCCTAACAATGAGAGCTATCCACAAGACTCAAAACAAATACAAAACGTGGCTACATCAAGCATCACCTACCCGAAAGGCGACACCACAACTCAGACACACACCTAACACAAAAAGAGACAACTACACAGATCTCCACTACATGGAACTGGCGCCGTCTCTATACAAAGTGCATGAACCCAACAAAAGGAACAACTACACAACCCCAGCGTCCCAACAATCCTTATATGAGTTGACAACTGGAAGATCAACAAGCATCCTTACAAGTACCAACCACCTGCTCATGAAACTCGTAAGTCCGCACCCCAACGCATGAGCCACAATCATTACCCAATAAATTTCAATAGATTTCCACAAGTACGTACGAACCAGCAGGCGACAGAAAACAATTCAACCTAACATGAAAAACCTAAGACAGGGAAAAAGCGAAATGCAACCGACGAAAAAATGCGAAGACACCTGTAGACAACACCCGCACAGCCACTTCGCAGACTAAATCCTCAATCCAAAATTGTGCAAACCGGATTTTCGGGCGGAAACTAGAAAACATTCACACTGATATAGACTCCATTCCTTAAAATCCCTCATGCCATTCCAACTGCCCTTATCCCCATGGCAATGGCAGGCTGCCTTCACCAACACCAATTCTCCAATTCGCCTTGTCACCAGCTATAACGGAGACTCCCACAACATCGAAGAAATTCAAGGATTTAAGAGCCATTGACGCCACCATCACCTTCTCACTCGTCTCCATCGTTATAATCCTCTGCTGCTAATTCCTCTTCGACTAGAGAAAGTACACGTCGATAGTACACGCAACATCTACCAACACACCAGCAACAACTCACTTCACTGCCCACAGACCAAAGCGACCCATGGAATACAATTTTTATTATACACACAAACATATACGAAGTCTAGAAGTCTGTTCACAAAGTGCACTTCCATTCTTCTCGTCCTACCTAAAATTACGGATGTAAAAGCATGGAGAAAACGGATAATGCAATATAGTTAACTATTTCTCATAACCATGACTACTATCGTAAAAAGCCGTTGCTGTTCGCCTACTTCAAAACAGACGCTCCGAAATTGCAGTTTGACACACGCAAACGCTAAAGTGAATAGGCAAGCTCGCAAAACACTGCATTCCCTCTATCATCAGTTGATGTAATAATGTTTAGATTCCGCTATAATTTTTATTCCAAAAAATACAATATGCCATCCTTTTTTTAAATAATATATATGTTAGAGGCATTAGGAAAAATATAGTGTCTTCCCAGCCATTTTCTCCATATTCGCCCTATCCACTGTTTGCAAATACCTGTCCGTTACTTGTGATGGATGGAAGGAAAAACTTGTAGAAAATTATATAAATTAAATTAACTTTTTAATATTGATGCTAAGCCGTGTGGCTACTACTAATTCCTTCGATCTTTTTTGCACTTTTCGCAAATACATTGATGTCCCCAGGCTTGTGTATACGAAATGAAAGTGTAATTCAATTAGCCTTAAAAAGTGTGTTACACACCATGAATGCATGCAATCATGAATGCGTATCTCTAAATGCATGTATGTACAGCTTTGCACACTACCTTCCTTTGCTACAAATGGCAGTCTTGCTACGCCACAGTGGTGAAGACGGAAAGCGAGCGCAAATGTGACACGACTACAATGCCGGTTTCTGTTGACAGAGGATTCTACGCCATGAATGAAGTATATGCCTTGCGTGGCATAATACGTCGTTCAGTATATTTTAGAGACCTCCGCGCCTGACCCTAGGAAACTTAATGTCATCGAATGTCTCATTATTGATCTAGTTGACGTGTGAAACTGTAAAACTTTAATTAGGAGTTTGTGGGGAACATCGGATGACGTAATGTGGCCTTGACGCGTCATGTGGATTGATAATGATCCACTAATTTACATAATCATTAGTCTTGTAGATTAGGTCTGGAGGACTCTAAAGGTCACTGGATGATGTAATATGCGCTTTTGTTGATCTCTTTGTCGATAATTTGGCAAAGCGTGACATCGTATTTACCAAGGTTGGGGATCATGAGGCTGTCGTCATCAACAGATTGCAAAATTTGAACTTGACATGTCATCGGGATCGATAAAGAGATAATAACTGACGTCATGATTTTTCCGAGCTAGGTCTTTTGGTTTCTAAATTACACTGGATGAGGTAGTATGCCCTTTTGGTGACACCTGAGTCGACATTTTGCTGATTTGTGGCATCACATGTCCGATGGCAGTGTCAACTTAGGGGATAGCGCTTCCCCTCCATAAAACATTTCACATTGGAGAGTTAGTCTACGTGTTGTGCAAGCGTTTGAGGCGAGTGACAGTCGGGCTTGTGAGGAGAGATGAATGATAATAAAAGATAAAAGTTAGCAATGTCTTGCTCTCCTACACCGCTATGGTTGTCCTCCTGCCACCTTACCCTGCTGTAGCACCCGCGCCGCAAAGAAGACCAATCCCACCAGATCGCAAGGGCGACAAGTGCCCGCAGTGGGCCACATTCATGAAGGCTTATCAACACGGCAACAACAGGAGCGGTGCCGACGCAACTTAGCGTGTAAGCAGAGGAGAGGACTGGCAGATACCTGCCGCGCCCACTCCACACCCGCAGCGCCACAGCGCAGCAGTTGTCTGCAGTACGGTCAATTCACTACTCTGCTCCCACAGCTAAGGGACCGACCAGCCACAGGGCGCAATGTGCGGACTATCCACGACCATCGCGACCGCATTTAACCTTAACTGTAGTAGCAGCACTGACTCAGGCACGAAGCCCCCATTTATCTCGAGTGTCCCCCCACACTCCCCCAACACTATTTGCCTCTCATCTCCTCACCAACACTTTTCACTCACAACCTATCGTTATTTATTCCTTCCTCATCTCCATGCCTACACATTCACCGCCTACCCACTTTTCCCCACACAAATTCTACATAGTATTTTCCTGCCATTCGCCATACTCCTAGTCTTGCCTTTCTTAATCCTCTCCTTGTAGTGTCTCCTCTTCCCCCTTCTCAAAGGTACCACCCTTGTTCCACCCGCACGCACGCACGCACACGAATGTCAAACCCCGTCCGGCACTTTCCACATGTCCGCTAGTTCGTTCATCCCATCTTTGCTACTGAATTAACCTCAGTAACAGCGTTAACTCTCCATGCGTGCTTCTAAGCCAATACATACGCCTACTTGTAGCCATGGTAATGAGAAAAACGGTGATTAGATTTTTGAAACAGTAAGTCAGTCAGGAGTAGACAGCTTGCAGGCAGCTGTTGACGCGACTTAGTAATCCTATGCAATGCCTAAATCAACCCGTCGACAGCCGTAATCCAAGTTGCCGTCTCCATGTCCGAAAATGAGAAAGCAACTCCTTTTGAAGAGGTTGTATAAAAATTGTCAAGAATTACAGTTCCTCCACCGTTAGACTACCTCGAATGAGACAACACTCGCTGATTTTTTCTGGGTCTTGTGGCCGCCGATAGATTGTATCACCTTCCTGGTATGCAAACCTGAAGACGCATAAGTAAATGTACCCTTAATAGAGGATGAGGATCCTTATATAACGCTAAACAATGGACGAAAAAAAGCATTGAAGAACTGAAACCTACGGCAATCTTGCGACCCAGATATTTCCATTTTCCAGATAAACGTAGCCTGGATCGCCCTCTGAACTAATGTGTGCTTTTAACTTTCCATCACTCAAAATTCGAGAAATATGCGAGGTGGAGGTCTTGAGGTCGGAATTGCCAGCATCAATCTAAAGAAAGGGAGATAATGGAAGCCAGAGAGTCTATCAGATGGTAGGAGATTAGCGTAGGCATGGAAAGATCACCTCTCGATCAAGTGTTGGACCGAGATGGAAGATGGGAGTGTTGGAGTCCACGGGACCGGGTCGGACCATCGGTGCAAAACGAACCCGAATGGCGACACTGGGAATGGCTACGTATACGCGCATCAGTTGAGCCCAAATTGTTCCATCATCGCATAGGCCATTGTCTCCACGGCTATTCCCTTCCTTTCCATCCATATCCTCAACCGAAGCCAGCACCTCTGTACCTGCTGCAGCCGTGTTCTCTGCCTTTGCGCCACCAGCTGTGGGTGAACAACGGCATGGCAGGTAGAGTGCCAGATCGCTGGAGAGAAGGCTGGAAACAGACCGTCGCACGTCGCCTCCCTGCATTGTTCCTATCATTGGACGATCCGGACCCGCCAGAAAGAAACGATGACCCATTGGACACTCCATTTCAAAACCGAGGAAGAGTTTAACACTGTCCGAATCACGGGGACGTCCCAATCGGGTCTTTGACGGAGTGCCGACTACTGACGCGGGGCGGGAAATCTGAACGTCCCAGGGGAGAAGGAAGTGACTCCCGCGTAGGAATCCGGGAAGAGACATTCCTAAAACAGATGATAATAATAATGATATGGTGTTGATGATGAGTATAAACTGGTTGAAGACAGCTTACCAGACGAATGGGAGTAGCTGAAATACTTTCCCAGTGCGTGGATAGCCCAAGAGGGGTAGAGAGGCATGCTCCCAATGGGCTGACCCAGCACAGGCATACCAGCGAAGAAGGTGACCGGTACACGCTGCTTTGCCCTGACGGCAACATTAGACACGTCAAAAGACCCGTTGGGACTGTTGGTGATGGGATCCGCAGCATCTTCCAAGCCACTCTTTTCTTCTTCACTGTAGTCTTCCCACACATTTGAGGAGTTAAACTTGGTTCTGCGAGTTTTAGTGAGGAGTTTGTGAGAAGAAATTTGCGACATACTCTCCGTACTGGCGTAATTGGGAGAAGCTTGTGGAGAGGTGATGGAGGAGACGGAATCGTCACTGTCAGAATCTAAAAGAACGAATCACCTTACTTCAAGTGTGCATGTAAGACGGGAAATACTCTCTATAGTTTTGATCTTAGTGCATACATCTTCATGATTTGTGGCAGCCTCCTCAGAGAAAGCATTTAAAATGTTAATTGTTGATTTGAAGTAACATTCCCAATTCAGTAGGTGAGACGGCTACAGCCATCAGTGACAGTGTCGAAGACTCCGAATGACCAAGAATGAAATGCATCCCTTAGTGGCAAACAATAGCCAACCTCCTTTGCTACTCTCACCTTTGCAAAAACAAAGCCAATAACACGACAATGAAGTCTAGCAGATGAACATAAACAAATTTAAAAAGGTGGAGGAGTTGAAAAAAGCATGCAAAGTTTCGGTGCCCAGTTAAGCTGATACTAAGTTTATCAGCTCTTGGCACATCTGCTTGTCACCAAACAGCTCATCTTAGTAAGTGTACTTAGGCATCCGCCTTCCAACAAAAAGCCAAGGCAAGTCAATACTAACCTCTAGCCTTCAACATATCTTCCTCTTCTGCGTCAGCCGAAGTTAAAGTGGATTTACAAGTAAAGTGAGCGGTTGTTGTTGCATCGTCTTCACCGTCTGATGATATGACCCGACGACTGTTTCGCTGAGGCAATTCAGAAAAGGTCGTCTCTAAAGGCGAAGTCGGATGCTCAAGTGCTTCCACATTTTTCTCCTCCAGGTGGGAGCAAAAGTTGTGCGCTGTACTGCTGCTCAACAGCAGCGGCGCCAATGGGATCCCGTTAACCTACAAACACACAGAGGGAGATAAAATAAGACGGATCAAGGTAAAAATAAAAACACGTGAGTAGTACCTTGCTGCAGCAAACCAGTTGGAGGGAATTGTAAAATTCCCAATTGGCCTCCTGATAGTCAAAGGGATCAGGACGCACAGCTTGAAGCCGACCGCAGTTGCAGTAGCTGATATAACGCCGGTCTGAGCGATGAGGCATCACGGAGAGGTGATGAAGGCTTGCAACCTTACCAGACACGTTTGCATCAGTTGTGTGCATGTCCTTCTTCTCCTTCTCCATTACCTCGACAGCACCCTCGATCCATGCATAGCGCCACCGCCCCATGAGACCTTAAAGAATGTTTAAGACAGCAATGAGCTTGTAAGGCTGGCATAAGCCTCAAAGCTACCAGACAATTCAGCGTTTTAAAGAAAGATTAGCAACACTATGGTTATTACAAGATAGGTGGCATTAAATCCCGCGTACGAGCTTCGCAACAAGAAGCCGGTATACAACAAGGCCTTAATGGAGAAGACTCACCCAAAGGAACATCCTGTAGGCAATCAGAGAAAACGTTATCATAGACGTGCCGACTTTTCATTCCACCTGTCCCATTAAATGCCATTGCATCTCTATCCAGCGCTAAGTTCAGTTGCTTGACAAGGCGCATGCCCAGCGATTCCTCGATAGATCGATTAGCGGTGGCGTCACCATCATTATTATCGGGAGCATCCTCTTTTGGCTGAGATTCCAGCAAGCGGAGGGCTCTAGCGATACCTGGAAATCGTTCAGGCAGTGTATGCAGCTCCTGTCGACAAGCCGCGCCCGATACGAGTACTGCTGGGCAGCCAACGCGACCGGCTAGGTAGAGACGGGCCAGACGACGAGTCAGTCGCTCCAATGTCGGAAGGACACAAGGCCCACGTGCCAGGCGAAGGAAAACGTTGTACGATGACACTACCTGCAATGAAGATTGACTAGAGATTGCTAAAAAGGTCAGCTAGATAAGATGAAGGGGATTTAATTGGTTGCCTTTGCTAGATGGAATGTTCTAGAGTAGTGGGCCGGTAGGTCCTGCCGATAGTGAGCTTCCGCAGCAGTTATAGCAATCTCACAACGAGTACTGGAGAGTCGGCGATCGAGTTGAGATTGGGTAGCGAAGAGGGTGACTGCTGTAGCATCAGCATCCCCGTCAGGAGGGAAGAGTTGGTTCCACTGACGGCCCAGGCAGGGATCCGTACCGCCCTCCAATGAAGGGGACGGGTTGGACTCACTTCCGTCAAACAGGCTCGTGTATAGCTTGTAACACGTCTATCCGCAAAAAAAAAAAGCTCAGCTATCGCTTTATCGCAGTGGACTTCAGGTATCCTCTGATCTACCTAATAGCAAACAATCTGCTGCCTCAATGCAATACCATTTCTGTGGTTTCACATGAAAAAAATGGTAAGTTTGGATCATAAAAAAATTTGAGGTTAAAAAGTTATTCACGTTTCCCTTTCAGTGCTAAGTTATACTACTTATGCAAGGTGATCAACGTACTCCAATTAATTACTGCAATGCAGTGATGCAATAGTTGCCTTCAAACCCAGCGTTACACAATCTGCTCGCCTTCATGAAAACATAAAAGCAGACTTTTTCCTCTTTTTGGGTCCTAGGTACCACTGCATTCGGTTCATTAAAGTTAAAATAATAAACAATAACACAAATGCATAGTGGTTTCGTGTATAAGTGAATTGTTGCAAAAGGCATTGGAAGTTGATGAAGAGGAACTCACAGTAAACCACCCTTTACAAGTAGGTAGTTCAAATGTGTAGGGGGCGTAATTGTCCGTAAGATCGCCACGGAAAGGATCGTCAAAGAGGGCGGTTAGATGGCATTGAAGGAAAGCTGAAAAGCTGCGATCATCAGGTCCACCTGGCGGTGGATAGAGAGCCGTAGGAGGTGGCACCTGACGATCCTTAATGAGATCAAATCCAGTTTGGAGGGAAGTAATTCCGCTAGCTGGAATCAGCTTCTCAAGTAGTGTCTGGGCCAAATCAGTTTTGTCTAGCATACCATGAAAATCCGACGCCTCTCCCTGCGTTTCAATGCCATCAGGGAGGAGGACACGCACGTAATTATAACCCATTAAGTCAAACAATCTAGTTTCCGTCGAGTTGCTAAAAGTAGAAGAAGAGGAGTGCCACAGTAGCAATTACTACCTACCCTTCAAGCAGCCCGCTCTCAAAAAATACATTAAATATTTGGTAGGAGAGATTCTTCTCAAAGTCAATTAATGTGTTTTCATCCTGTATTAAGAGAAAACCATTAAAAGCACTTGTTGAGTACTTTCAAGAGTTGGATGATTAAAAATGACAACTTTGGCAAGCTTTCTGGCAACAATTGTGGGTGGTAATTTGAAGACAAACAAGAGTCGCGGTGCCATCAGCCGACCGATGGAAATACAATAGCGCGGAAGCGGGAGTGACCTCAGGAGTTGTTCCAATGTGGGGTACAAACTATGCCTACTTTCCAATACAATGCAAACGCAGACCTGACAACCCACCTCAGACGATTTAAGAGTTTGAAAAGGGAGATGTATTTAGGATCGAGATGGGTGCCAAAAGTGACAATCTAAAATAGGGTTCTCATTAGTACACCTACCACAATTATGTGTGAAACAGTGAACAGGAGGTACAAATGTTTCAGCCTTTCAGAATCCCATTTTTCAATGACTTTGTCAAAATCCTAAAAAGTTACAAACAGAAAAATGAATGAGAAAACGCTTACTTCAGTTGTATTTAAGAGATCGGTTAAGAGTTTTTCCGAATCACGATAGTGCAGGAAGATTAGCTGACGCTCACAGTCGTAGTATCCTTTGATAGTGCTCTGTAGAAAACATAAAATTAGGCAAGTCTCAAACTCACGTTGATACAAGGAAGAAGAAAAGGACTCTTCTGAAGGAACTCATCCACTAACTGTGTTGAATACTTTCCATTGAATGAGTCCAACGAACCGATAAAAGAAACGACAGCAACATTTTTTGACTTCTGTGGAAGAATTCTAAACGAGGAGTTAAGTAAGACAAAAAGAGTACTTAAAATCGAAGCCAGGAGGTACAGTGAACCGACCACCGCAGTACGACGACATCGTTAACCTCCTATGAAGTAAAACTAGATTTGTAAGATCATAAAAAGCAAAAAATTTGAAATCTAAATAAGCATTCACATACAACCGGTTTATTGGTGAAAAGAACGTCAGAGACACTATAGACTCAAGCAGGGGGAATAGAACGATCTAGACAATAAAATATTCGTGAAGTATCCACAAGGAGATCTTAGGTTTCCGGTAGCCCATGGAAGGAAAAAATTGTTACTAGAAAAGCCCACATAGTAAATACATCAACGATGGAGGAATTCTAACCGAAACCTACGAACTATTCAGTAGTGGTTCCGAGCAATGCATGTTTATCGTGAGGCGGGAACGTTTCAAAATGAAAGCTGACAGGGCTATTGCGCCAGGCAGTGGATTAAGTAAAAATAAGAAAATCCACAACGGCGAGCGCACTCGCCGTGCAAAATGACCTAGCAGCTAACCTTCCAGTAAGAAGAAAGGCATCCGAACCAATCTAGAGTGAGAAGGCCATACAGAAAATGCAGCTACACTCTATCAGCCTATACGACTCCAATTTACAATCACCCGCGAAATAGCAAATGTAGGATAATTCACCATTAGCTTCACATTAGTTAGCAAATGTAGCCAGAGATTAAATGGAAAATTAAAGCACAATTCGGTGACAATTCTCAGTCAAACGGTCAATCAAGCAATGTTATAAAGTGCAAAATTAAGTGTTGCAGATCTGCTAATCTCAAGAGCAAAAACGGACGCAAACATTTCGCGAAAAGTCAAGCGGTGTCAAAGTAAGTGCAATGAGACGATAGTCATCAAAATTACTGCCATGCACCTGGGTGCGGAAGCAGTGGTGTAGGCATGGGCGCACTATGCGTCTATTTTGTCAGTGATTGGTGAGAGGCAAGAAATCTATTTGAGATGGGTGCACAAAGGGCGTGTAGACATCTTACCAGGAAGTAACGTACAAAAGAACCTGAAGGAGTGGCCCTAAGCTAATGGTGCTGCCGTAGTGGTTGTTTGGAAATGAAGGAAGGCAACTAACATGCTTGTTTGAGCCACATTTTATAATTATTAATGCAAATCAATTGTCTAGTCAATTATTTCAATCACAATATTCAAATGAAAAAAATTTGATGCATATGAGACAAAATTTGCATCGGGAAATTAGACAAGAAAGGCCTAGCTTTGTATATCTCTTGTTATTTGTCAGGAGGAAAATGCTGAATTTAGATGAACAACTGCAACCCTCGCAGATACTTTAAAAAGGCTTTAACCAGTCCGTTACTGGTAGCTGATTGGATAGCATGGCCGCTGGGGCTGAAAGTTCGGTTGTTCGCATCTTTACCGGCAGTATGGGGTCAAAAGCGCGTACAGCCCTTATGCATTTCCTCAGCAGCGATTCATGTATGTTCCTATCTCATTAATATATTTTTGCAGCGATGGATGAACGCTTGAAACATGGAGCAGAGCTCAGTGAATATCTTGAAGTAGTCCGATCTTCTTTTACGAACTTTTTTAGAACTTTCCTGCGGAAGATGAACTAAAGGAGTTCGTGCCCACCATCTTTGAATATTTAAAGAAGTTTTTACTTGAATCAGAGGTGCAATTTATAAAAGAATCTCCTCTTAATCGCTTACGATGCATGTCTCTTGAAATTCTGCACAAGATCAGAAATGCAGATTATTTCAGGACGCATGTTTCGACAGTTCTAAGTCTCTTGTTCCACGTTATCGAGGTATAGTGCTCTTGCGCGTTTACTTTTTTAGTTTGAAAATGAAGAGAACGTCCTTCTTTGTATTAAACTTATAATGGATCTTCATAAGCTCTATCGTCCTCATTTTTCACCTGAAGTAAGAGTCTTGAATTCGTTACTCTCTATAGGTGATTAACTTTCTCAACTTGATTCACAGAATCTACCGGAACCTTAAAAACCACATTTGTAGCATTTTTAAGCCAGATCAGATATACGAAGTTAACAGTATTAATGACTTGAAGCTTGAATCTATCTTGCCTGGAGTGTTTACGTCTACCATTGTGCACGCAAAGGACTCTACTTCAGATTCAACGGTTTCAGTCGTAATTTGAACCACTTTATCATTACTGTCCCATTAGTATCACATCCTCCCGAAGGCCTGTTTCTCTCTGAAAGTGATGCAGGAAATCCCTATTCTTGTCGTTTTGCTGTATCAGCTTTTTAAACAGCAAATCCACAGTCACGTAACTGAGTTCATTCCTGTCATCATGGAGTTCATTAACATGAGGCCCCTTCCGGAGTACACGTAAGTCTTGCGTATTCCGAATAAGGTGTGTTTTCGGCGAACTGTGGATCATGAAGTTTCTTCAACGACTGCATTTATTTGGGGGTGGGAACTGTGGATATTTTAGTGCTTCTTTGCTGTTCTTGCGCATTTGGGTAGCGTCTGAGAAATGTTTGAAGAAATTTTGACAATCATAGTCAGGCCTTCTGTTCTTCATTGGTGCTCAAATGTTACTTTAGCTTGCACTTCCACTTTTTCGTTTCTCCTGGCACTTATTGACTTTGGTGGTGATTATCTCACACCTCAATTTTAGGCAAGATCAAGGTTGCAAGAAGAGCAAGTATCTTGACTTTATGGCCGCCCAGGTGAAGACGCTTTCTTTTTTAGCCTACGTTATTAAGATATATCAAGTACGTTTTGGTCTGTTTTATCTTTTGATCCACGTCATATTGTCAATCACCGTCCTTTTCACAGGAGACTATTGATCAGCATTCAGCAGCACTGGTAAAAGGCATGATGAACCTTATGGTTACATGTCCGCCGTCAATCACAAATATGCGTAAAGAATTTTTCATTGCTACTCGTCACATTTTAAGCGCACAGGAAATTCGTCCGAGTACGTTGCTATGGTTTACCAGTGATATTTTAATAACTGGATTACGTGAGAATTGCTAACGCTTGGTCTTGTAACGCTGATTAATGCCTTTCGTTTGTTTTGGTTTTTATTGTAGAGTTCCTTCAAGCACTTGACGACATGATGGAGGATAGTGTTTTGATTGGAAAAGGTTATACTGTGCGAGACTCTCTAAGGTGACATTTTTGCACTCCTTCCTTCTCAATGATGCTGTTGTTTCCGTCTCTTCGCTTCGAAAGCGCTATAATTACTTGCTTTTTCTCATCTAGACCGCTTTCTTACAGCACATTGGCGGATTTGATACATCATCTTCGTGGTGAACTTACGCTTTCAAAAATAGCTCGAGCAGTCGATCTGTACGGAAGGAATATGTTTGATGACTCACTACCATTTTCGATTCAACAGATGAGTCAACGCCTGATTTTCAATCTTGCTGAGTGCATTCGTCTACGAACGGCCGATTCGCCTCCCGCAGATTCGTCAAAGCCGCCCATGAACGCCGCAAGTGCTCGACGTGTTTTGCTTCAGATAATGACCCTTTGCGTGCTCAAATGCCAAATTGTGGCCGAACATTATATTCCTGAATTGGAGGCGAAGTGGTACGATTCTTTGTGAATCTTCTTGATCACCTTTTCAAACTACTGAACTTAGTGCATTTCAAATTTCCATGAGCAGTTTGACAGAGGATGCTGAAGGCTCTCCCGAAAATAAGGCATCAACAACAGACGAGGGAGAAACAGAGAATGTCGCCGCCAGTTCGGGTGGTAAGCAAGATACAGTAAGTTTTTCCGCTTCTAGTTCTTTTTACTTTGCACCCAACCATCTCCGTCATCCATCCGTTCATTTTTTTCAGTCCATGTATTCTGAAACGTTCACACAAGGCCATCTGAGTATCAATGACCTGAGGTCTTCAGTTAAGGCTTTGGTCTCAGGCATGCGGGCTGTCATCACGGCTTTGACTCAGTGCCCACATTGGAACGGTTCTGAGGATGAAACGTACCTCATGGGAGGACCTCAAGCCTCCGCACTACCATCTCCCAAACAGCTTCTACCTACTGAATTGATTGTTTTGTCCGATTACCTCACCTATGGGCTTCGAATGCTTGATATTTTGCGAATCGTCTCAAAGGACGGTCAATTCTACCTTCGTGGGTATGTATCTCTTCTTCTGCAGTTGGGGTCTTTGTGTTTCTCTTAATTTGTGCATCAGAAACACTCCTCCCCTTAGTCCCAACTCGGGAGCAAAGTATCCGGAGGAGCGTTACCTTTTGGAGACTTTAGCGTTGACCTTTTCACCCATCAGTTCTTCGTCATTTCGGGAGATATTTTCAACAAAGATTGGCGTAAGTGTGTTTCGCGCACTTTTCATCCTATTTCCTGATGGACCTACGCGACTTTTTCACCTTTCCCTACCAGTACATCGTTGAGTGGTGTCGCAAAAGCCCCATTTTCTACGCACACTTCGCTTTCCACATCCTGTCTCAATCAAGTCAAACCTCAAACTTCGGTCATATTCTACTCTCGTATCTCGTTGACCGGCTTGATAAAATCGGGGGTAGGGTTAACCCTTCAAAGAATTTTGTTTGCTCCGACTCATCTTTCTCCGATGTCAAAATATATGATGTATTCTTCACTATTTTTAGGGTAAACGATTACGCTAAGATTAATAAAACTACTTTTTTTGTGAACTAGCTGATTTGATCGTTTTTTAGTGCTGATATTAACTCTGTACAAGAATGAACATCGAACTTATGGCGATTGAGTTTCTCATTTGAAATGTGTGGTGGAAATGTTGCCATATTCTGCACTTCTGTGTTCTTTTTTAGAGGGCACTGACGTATCCTTCACCCATATGCGTCTGCTGAAGTTCTGCTTCAACTCGGTCAACATGACTGGCACTGAAAATGAGCACGTTATGAAGGTGAATGCCAGTGTTTGCTTACTCGACTACGATTGAGGAGTCCTGGTGCCTTGCAGTGTTTTGCTTTTATAGTTGCATCTTCGAAAGATAGTGCAGGGAAGTATGCAGCACTGCTTGGAAGCTCGAGAGCCAATAGCCTATCTGACCCTGCTACGCGCCCTTTTCCGTTCCATTGGTGGAGGCGCTCATGACAAGCTGTACCGTGAATTCTTTCCTCTCTTGCCCGAGATGCTGACCACCCTGAACCGACTCTTGCGCTCTGCACATCGCACCCATGCTCGCGATTTGTTGGGCGAACTTTGTGTCATTGTGCCAGTTCGCCTCTCCACCCTCTTGCCTTACCTTTCGCTTCTCATGGAACCTCTTACTTACGTACTCAACTGTAATACTGTCAACCAGGTATGTTTGATTGTTCAGTGCCTGCTTGTTCGCATATTTGGTTTTGCCGTATCTTTCTTGCTCATTGCGATGGAACGGATGAAGATATCGTCTGTCAGAATACGGTCTTCGTGTTTGGAGTTTTCGGTTTATTTGACCAATACGTCCTGAGTGAGCGTAAATAGCCACTTAATCTACAAATAATACACAATTGGAGAGGTGCACTAGGCCCTTCACCTAGATATCTTGCTATGTTTTGTTAAATTGTGGACTTTCTGCTAAAATTTGTGGGTCGTTCTAAACCATCGAGATGGCTCAAAGAATTTTGCATAGTTGGAAAGGCTTTTTATGAGTCTAAAAAACACCGGTCTCTCTCCAGAGCCATTGACATGGTAACACTGGCTGGTGAATAAAAGAATGAAGTTACTTGGTGACTTCATTTGACCTCTTTTGTTCATTGTATGATTAGGCGAAAGTGTTTAATACACTCCTCTGTAAGGTGTATCGAATGAAGTGCATTTTTAGCTCATTTTCTCAAACCTCTCCTTCCAAACTATGTTCTGATCACTAAAAACGGGTTTTAATGCTGACACTGAAAGGTGATTGAGTTAATGACCCAACATACCATTTTGCCGTTTTCTTGCGGTACCAGATTCTCTAAGTAAGGCGTCTCAAGGTGCCAAAAGTGAACGCTCAAAAATCCTGATCCTTTCGCTAGCCTCTGCGCCTTATTTCACATTTACACCGTCGAGGAGACGACTTCTTAATTAAAAACGCTGTAATCGAGGCTTACTATCCGTCACAATGGCATTGCCAACGATATAGGTATTTTGCTCTTGCTTTTATGAATGCTAGAAACTTTCGTTGTTTTATAAATCTCAGTAGATCAACAGGCATGCTAAATAGCCCTACTACCAGACTGGAAGAGGAAATCATTCGGCGATTATAAACTTGTGCAACTAGGTTAAGTAAACCCTTTCGTAGTTAATGTTGCTGTGGCGATTCTAGTACCCAATTTTAGTGCCTCACTATCACCTTTCATTATGCCACGCCGTCGCCTTATTTTTATTTTATTTTATTTTTTCTCCAGGGTCTTCGTACATTAGAGCTCTGCGTGGATAACATGCAACCTGATTTTCTCTACCAGCATCTCTATCAAGTTCGCGGTGATATGCTGCTTGGTCTTTACACCTCTTTGCACTCCCAAAGTGAATACGTTCAAAAGATGGCTTTTAAAGTAATTTTTTTTATCAATTTACTCCTCTTTTGGGTGCTTGGCTTTGGACTATCCTTTTTTTCCCTCCGGTGCTTGATAGGTTCTGGGAAAAATGGGTCGCTTTAACAGAGCCGACATATCGGACGTTCAGCGCCTCAACTTGAATGTAAATTGTGGAGAAAGTGGTCCGCTGCTTCGATTTTGGCTCCGTGAATTCCCTCAGCATCCTGTTGATCTCCCTATTCGCAGTTTAGTTGATTTTGCCGTAGAAACTATTCAGGTAGGCTCTGATTCAACTTCCACTCGGACCTTTCTTGCTGACTTATTAAGTACCTTCTTGGTGAATTGTAGGAGCCGACTGTCGACTATTTGTACAGACTTTGTGCTTGGCAATTCTTGAGAGGTGTCTGCATATCGTCCCTCAATCTCCACGTCTGTTCTAAGACTCCTGCTGGGTATTTGTCCCAAGATCTTGTTGATAAACTTCCACCCTATCCCTTTAAACGACTTCGCAACGTCATTCATCTACTAGACTCGAGCCAACCATTTTTCCACAATGATAAGCCCAGCAAGTCTTTTAATTTTCTTCAATCATACTTTCATTAATGTTTTACCTGATGTGTTCAACTCGCCAATTTTCATTACTCATTAGGTATTTATCATCTTGTGATGGTGCGAGTTGTCGGCGGAATCTTTTTATCCACATCAGTGGCTCCCAGCATACCGGACTGTGGGACCTTTGTAACCTTCCTCGTCCGCCATTTGACTCTTATTAGCCTCCTTGAAGAAGGGAACGTCAACTCCCCATTTGCAGTCAGCTCCTCCAGTGCTCCCGTCTGTAGTCGAATTTCTCAATTAATTTCATCCTTTGTGTGTCTCCTGTCATCAATTTGTGTTTTTTCAGATCTGCGATGCTGAACTCCCACTCGATTCAAGAGTTTTGGTCGAAGCTGTGTGCTTTGTCATGGGTCATGAGGACAAGGAGATGGTTCGGAGTGGGTATGTGCTCTTGGACGAAATCATTAACACTGCCACCATTGCGATTGAAGTCGCTCTATCCGAAGATGACTCCCTTCAGACTGGCGCGGGTGATGTACTTGTGCGTCTTCCTTTGATGCAACACTTCGCGAAGGCCATCACGGACATGCTCTTCCATCCTGCTTGGTTCGTTTTTGTGACCCAATTTGTTAACACTAGGGTTTCATTTATTTGTGGGTGAAGGTCCCATTTCCTCCCCCCTTTTTTGTTTTTAAATTATCGTTTCAGGTTTGTCAAGTGGGGTGCATGTTGCATTCTACTGTATCTTCGAGATCGTTTGTCAGTAAATTGGTTCAGAGAGCATGTGGTTGCTTTCCTCCGTGGTCTGTTGCATTGTCTTCACGATCTGACGAATCAAATGGGTCAGGGTGCTCTTGCTCTCGCTCAGCAATGTTCCACCGCCTTGGTACAGTTTGTTTTCTCCCACGAGACATCTAATCTCCCAACTGAATCGACGCCGCCACTGTCAACGACAACCAAGGCGGAGTCACCCGCTCAGAGCCGAGAACACGGTAAGCGGACGGTGGTTGCCCGCAGAAGGTCCGCGGCTGCAAGTAAGCGTGGTAATGTGGCGAAAAAACGGTCAATAACATCGAGAAAAGATGCGGATTTGCAAGCACACGATTCAACAGAAGATGTGGAGATGAATGAGGCTACAAATCCAATGTCTTCCTTATCGTCCGAAGTTACTTCACAAGTGAGCGTGCTCAGGAAAATGTTTCATTGCCCAACATTGAGTGTCACTTATTGGAATCGTTCTTTTATTTTAGACACCACTGATGAACTCTGTCCTTCATGAACTTGTGGAGGCACTTCTGAGTGAGACCAAGGTTGTACGAGCTCAAGTGCGCTCTCTCCTATCAAACATTGCTGATTGTCTCTCCATACCTCTCAGCAGTTTACTAAAACCGCACATCCATCTCATAGGCAGTTGGTTGCCACCAAAAAATAGGTTCCATCGACTTTCCAACCTACCAGTGTCCACGCAAATTGCAGTCTTGGTGAGTTTGCTACTACCTTCTCCCTCCATAGCTTGAATTACTTCGTTCGGGTTTATAGGTGTGTACTTTTATTGGTTTATAGGAGGCAAACTACTTCCTTTGCAGCGATGCACCTTCGGGTGCTGGATTGTTACAATATTGTCCAACAACTCGTCGTTGTGATAATCGTTTCCTTATGGATCTTCGGGGAATCATGGACTCTCCTCTCCCCACATCCTCTCTATCGCCAATTCAACCAGCAAGCAATAGGAGTCCCCCATCCCAACAGCCCATCTTTTCATCCCTGCAGCTGCAGATGGCGGTCGATCTGAAGATTGTGGCCTCTCAGGTTCTCTCTACGATGCACTACCTCGAAGCTCAGAAGTCTGCTATTCTTGCGGCTCTATTTAAAGGTAGGTTCATTCATTGCGGCAGCAATGTCCCTGGAAGCATTGGAAGGCGTATCATTGACGGTAGTCTTTTTGAAAGCATCCAAATGCTCCTTAGGGGGCTAGTTTCTTGTATCACGTTCTCAGACATACGTTTAGGATAATGCCTCTGCTAAATGGTCTTGATTCCCTCTCTCATCCTCTTGCCCTCTGTTGTGCCTTGTTGCTGGGTTGGCTTATGGGCACCACCAATTTAGCACCTGTTGCAATGCATTCCAGTAAGGTTGGGGTTTGAGTACTAACGTGCAAAAGGGCCGAGATTTTGTGTTGGAATAGTCGAAATGCGTAGTCGCTGAATCTTGCTTATACAACGGATTCGATTGTCAAACACACCAACTATTGCATCATTTACCGTGGACTCCATCTCATATGATTATGTGGTTTTATTAGTGCAAGGGAAGGTGATACTCTTCACTTATAGTGGCAGGGAGGTGAGGGGTTTGGCGTTTCCCTATAGCATCGGTAAACTGGCTCTGAGGTTTTCCCCAGAGTGTTTCTCGTCAGTTTGTATCAAGTTGATGAGGTTACACCCTCATTACAGGGTGCGAGACAGAGTAGTGTATGGTTTGGCTGGAAGTAATCCATGTGTTTGTTCACCTCTCTACGTTTATCGTTTGCCACTTGTCAGTGCACGGCTTGCAGGTCCACACCAACGGAACAATAGCCTCCATCGCGACTTTCTCTCTCTGGTCGCTGTCTCCATAAGCCGGACGTCTCATTATCACAGGCTTTCCTTGACATTTAAAGTTCTACTTTATTCAGCCATACTTCTCTTAGACAACGTCGGCGAGTTTCCATTGACCATTTTAGACGGCATACAACTGACCTTCAGTGCGAATCATAAACCCGAAAAGATCCATCCTACTTCGTTTCCCTTGCAGGCATGTGCTCAGATTCGGCCGCTGTTCACAAATCTGTATTTGAGTACACTAAGGAATACGTGAGACGTACAACAATTGACACGGAGCTACGTCACACCTACGTAAAACCCATCCTCCCAAGCCTCCGTCAGACAACCAACATTCGCTTGGCAACTGTACGCCAGTTGGCATACTGTGCTGAGCTCTTCCCTAGCACTTTTAGCGAACGGTTCTGTGAAACAATTCAAGTGAGTTTCAACAGCATTGCCAGTAATCCGTTTTTTTCTATAACAAAGTCAGTTGAGGATAGTTCTTGTTGGCTCATCATCAGTGTAAGATCATCGTGTATAATGAAACATTTTCACTTTTAAATTCATTTTTTAATGCTCTTAGTCCTGTTCAATTCAAATGCTTGTACTTGTAAAGGGAATTCAGAACAGTTTGGTGAGCGTAAACAACGCGGACATGCTCCCCAAATCGGTTGAATTAATGGCGGCTCTGATCAGTTTGTTTCCTTTAATCCCGTTGGCTGGAGAAAAGTATGTGAAATCTCTCCTAAACATTGTGATCCAAGTGGAGCAATCGCTTAATGTGGAACTGACTAGTTCTCTGCGTCTGCCACTTCTTCGGTTTCTTGTGCGTTTTCCTGAGGAGACTTTCCGTCAAATTTTTCACGGATTCTCTCGTCCCCATGACAGTCATGCACATCGAATCATCTTGGTATGCCTTATCTCAACGAGATGTCTTGTGCATCATTTCACTTAATGTCTAATCCCTTCCTTTGGCATTAGCACCTGATGACATTGCCCGAGAGCAAACCCTTAGTGGACTATTTGATGGCCAATATTTCACTTCTAACAGACCTTCTGAAACTGAAAGAGGAGCCAGGTTTGTTCCTCGTGCTGTGTTAAACACATGTTTATTAAGTAATTATTGAGTAATGTTGCCATCAACAATGTTTGTAGAAACTGTCTATGAAAACACCTCTCTTCGTTTGCCACGAACGGACGGACCATTGGCACAGGCGTCAACTTCGTATCTGGCGCTGCGTCTTCTTCACGTCTTGCTTAAGCAACGTTCTGATTGGCTCAAATCGATTCTCTTGTCGTCCTTCTCTGGCGAAAGTCTGCTGACCTCCAATCAATCACCACTGCTACGAGTTCTTCTTGATTTATGGGGCTCAGCTGAATTTAAGAGGCGACATTCTTGTCTTACACTTGTTCAACTTCAACAAACCCACCCTAATGTTGATCTTGACCTTCTGTTAGAGGATCCTAGTGGTGGGGTCAGAAAAATTATTACCGCCAATCCCTCATTGTCCTCCACCTGCTCTCCCACTGAAACCACGGAGGTCCAATCGCTGTCTGGAGTTAGGGTCTCTGTTGGACTAACAAATTTCTTGTACTCCGACGAGCCCCTCTTGTTGCTTGATTTCATGCTTGCCTGCTCGGAGTAAGTTGCTCTTTTACGTGATCCATACTCGGGGAGGTGGAGGAGGAGTGTGAATAAACTACTTTTTTGGGTGTTTTTTTTTATTAGAGCTCGTCCAAATGACTATGATCTCCTTTTTTATATCGTTGCTGGAATGTCTCGGCATCGGTGTGTGGGATACAATCCTCTCCCGCATTACCTACAACGTCTTGTCCGTGACTCTACAGTGGCTTGGAGTCGTGCAATATTCCTTCACTTTATCCAGTTAGTGCGACGGCGTGTGGAGGCCAAGACAGGGACCGCCATCGGTGGTTCTATGAAGGCGGGAAGCAAAAAGAAACAATCGTTGACAGAGAGCATACTGACTGATTCCGATACGACCATGTCCGTGGAGCAGTACCTTGGCACACCTGAGGCACAATTCAAGTTGATTTCACAACTCATTCTGCCCTGCTTACAGCAGGCTTTTGAAAAGAACCCAGCAGAGCTAGTCGCATTGGGTCAGCCGCCTAGGCCAGACGAACCAAATGGTTAGATTGGTCTACAAGTTCACGAAAACTTTGGTGTATTTGTCAGCAGTTTTCTGCATTCCTTATGGCAATCCGACTGTGCTTTTAAGAATGTGATATTTTATGTTAAAACATGGAATACTTTGTCCCCTGTAAATCGCAGAGTCAATAGGCTAAATTAAAGTATGCTTTTGCATTTTGCTCTATAGACAACGATCTGGTGCATCTGTTTGTGAATCTGCTTCTGAATGACGAGGCCAATAAAACATGCACGGGTCTGCGAATTATGTACTGCCAAATTGCCTGTCACTTTGTCTACTACGCTTCCGAATACGTTCAAGACATTTCAACCAAGTGAGCTCACATACT